CTGGAAATAAGCGAGTACGATATTAAATACCGACCCCGAACCTCTATTAAGTCTCAAATCTTGGCAGACTTTGTGGACAACTTTACGCCGGCCCTAATACCCGAGGTCGAAAGAGAGTTATTAATTAACTCAGGGACTTCCTCGGGAATATGGACCCTCTTTACGGATGGCGCCTCAAACACGAAAGGGTCCGGACTTGGCATCGTATTGAAGCCACTAACAGGCAATATAATTAGACAATCTATTAAGACTGTGAAATTGACTAACAACGAGGCCAAATATGAGGCCATGATTGCAGGCCTTGAACTAGCCAAAAGCTTGGGGGCAGAAGTGATCGAAGCTAAGTGCGATTCCCTCCTTGTGGTAAACCAAATTAATAGAGCATTCAAGGTCAGAGAAGAACGAATGCAAAGATACTTAGAAAAGTTGCAGGTAACATTACATCGGTTCAAAGAATGGACTTTGCAACACGTACCTCGGGATCATAACAGTGAGGCTGATGCCCTCGCTAACTTAGGGTCATCGGTCAAAGATAACTAGTTCAATTCGGGGGCAGTCGTACAGCTTATGAGATCGGTGGTGGAAGAAGGCCATGCTGAGATCAACTCGACGAGCCTAACTTGGGACTGGAGGAATAAATATGTAGAATATTTTAGTACATGGAAAAAGACGCAAAGGAGTTCGTTCGAAAATGTGATGGATACCAAAGACACGACCCGATGATTCATCAACCCAGGGAGCTGTTGCATTCGGTTTTTTCACCATGGTCGTTCATGAAGTGGGGAATGGACATCGTCGGCCCCCTTCCATGGGCACCCGATAAGGCTCAATTTATATTATTTATGACTGACTATTTTTCTAAATGGGTGGAAGCCCAGGCGTACAATAAGGTCAGGGAGAAGGAAGTCATCGATTTCATTTGGGATCACATTATATGCCGATTCGGAATGTCGGCCGAGATTGTATGCGACAATGGGAAACAATTCATTGGCAGCAAAGTAACCAAATTCCTTGAAGACCACAAGATCAAAAGGATACTATCAACACCCTATCACCCTAGTGGTAATGGACAAGCTGAATCTACCAACAAAATCATACTCCAAAACCTTAAAAAGAAGTTAACCGACTCCAAAGGAAAATGGAATAAAATACTACCCGAAGTACTATGGGCATACCGTACGACCTCGAAATCCAGTACCGAGGCCACCCCATTTTCTTTGGTTTATAGCGTCGAAGCTCTGATACCGATCGAAGTCATAAAACCAAGTATCAGATTCTGATATGCGACAAAGGAATGAAATGACGAGGCCATGAGTACGAGCCTGGATCTATTAGATGAAAGGCGTGAAGCCGCCCTTGTCCGTTAGACCGCCCAAAAATAGCGGATCGAAAGGTACTACAATCGAAGGGCCAACCTTCGACACTTCAATACCGGGGACTTGGTACTAAGAAAGGTCACATTGAGCACCTGAAATCCGAACGAAGGGAAATTGGGGCTGAACTGGGAAGGACCGTACCAAATTATCGAGATCACCGGAAAGGGATCCTACAAACTTGGAACAATGAACGGCGAGCAACTGCCGAACAACTAGAATATAACTCACCTGAATCGATATTACTGCTAAGGTACGGCCCCGTTCTTTCTTTTATTTACATTTTAAGCTAACGCTTGCAGTTAACCAATAAGGGACAATACGAGATTTTAGGTCTGAAAGCACGTGTTGCACTCTTTTTTTCTTGAACCGGTTTTGTCGCAAATGGGTTTTCCGACAAGGTTTTTAATAAGGCAACAGGTAAATCATGCTAACTTAGAATTAAAGGCCGGCTACGAACCGGTAACAACAGCATTCGAGGACTCTCTTCGATCAGTCCCGAACACTGAGGGGCATTACCCACATATATCAACCTTAGCAAGGAAAGAGACTTCATGATTGAAGGGACTCAATCGATAGTATTTATTGTAAGGGACAAATGGTCAAATGAACTATGCCAACATAGACTTCTCAAATCCTGAGACAAAGCATGTATACATGTATAACTATTATGCACAAGAATGAAAAGAGGTCTATTCCTTGCGCACAAATATCTTGTCCTTTAAAACTTTTCTTGCATATTTCCTACATACGATCCCCTAAAGGTATTGAGCCCAAGGGCCACCTTAATCTGAGTTCGAACAATCACTCTCACTTGGGGACTGACGTCCGAAAACAAACTCGGACGGTCCGAGCTATCAGACCTCGGGGGCATAAGACCTATTAGGCAACGCCCGAATTTCAAAGGCCACGGGCACCCCCACTCGGGGACTGTTATCTTAGGTAACCCCGGATAACTCGGGACATCAAGCCCACTGGGCGACACCCGAACTAAAAAGGCTACGGCCATATTAACACGGCTAGGAGACGTCCGAGACCCGTAATAAAAACGAGGCCTTCAAAAATAAAATTCCATAACCGTTTCTAAAGGCTACCCTCGTCAAACTATAATCTAAACTACTTTGGGAAAAAGTTTCCGGTAATACCGAATCCCCACGATGCCTTAAAACAAAATAATGTTAAAGGCAAGGTCTGTTCGAACCTTCGAACATAACTTAACTATTTCATGCTAAGGCATTTCGACCTTTGTGTATACAAATAATAAAGCAAAGGGAAAATTCAAAAGCTGTGAAAGGAAAAAAAGCCTTATATATACATGTCAAAAATTCTTTTTACAAGGGCCAAATAGCCCCGATACAAAGTTTTACAAAGGCCGAACAGCCTCAACAAAAAGCAGAAGACGGAAACATCTAAAAAGATCCTAAGTGGCCTAGTCTTCGTCGGGGGCTGCATCATCACCTTTGGGGTGTCCACCGCCCTCGGACTCACCCGAATCTTCAGACTCCTCGGAATCTTCCTCCTCGGGATAGGCCAGCTTCCTAGCTGCGGCTTCGAGCATCTTGTCATCCTTGATCTCAGCCGATAAATCAAAACCCCGAGCGTGAACTTCCTCGAGGGCCTCTCTTCGGGATTGCCACTTCATATGCTCGACCATATTTTTTACAAGGTCCTGAGCCACTTCGGCATCGGCCTTATGCTGGGCCACCCTTTCATCAGCTTTAGCTTTGACCACGACGACCTCTGACTTAGCCGCCTCAAGCTCCTTGGCCATATTTTCTTGATCGGAGACAGCCGATCTCAGCTGAGACTTGAGCCCCTCGACCTTTTGGCCTGCACCAAGGCCTTTTCTTTTGCAGCCCAAAGACGAACCTCAGTCGAAGTCAATTGTGCCCGGCAGTCTTCTTTTTCGAGGTCAAGCGGTCCATGTTTCTTTTCCATTCTTCGGCCTCGGCCTTTACCGTATCCACCTCCGCTTGGAGCTGCTAGATCTGATCAAGTTTCTTTTGAACCTGCGGGTTCGGACCGTTAGCCATCGTATCTGACTAATTATCACTAACTTCAAATACTCTTCTTACCTTCTTGACCAGGTCGGCATGCTCTTTCCGGACCGCCTCTAGCTCAGCCTGGAGTTTCTCACTGAGAAGTTTGTAAGCATCCCTCTTCTCAATGAGCCATCGAGTCTCGGCCTCGTGTTGGTTTACCTCCTCCCGATATTGGAAAAAAGTCTCGTGATGAAGCACCGAGGCCTGCAAGCATAAAGAAAAGAGTTACGATTGTTTGCGACTTAATTTAAGTGCATAATAAAGGTCGACAAAAGGCATTTTAAGTTACCCGATTTAACACCTATTGTGCTTCGTTGAACAGGTAAGGCGCTTCCACCACATCTATCTTGGCTTGATATTCTTCGGTCACTAGGCACCGAAAATAACTGGCAACCCCCACGGGGGCAGAGAGAACCCGGGCATCCTCCGGAATAGACATGATAATTGACCGCTTCTGGTCAGGATCTGCACTCGGAGCTGGGAACCGATTTACTGATTTTAGACTTGAAGAAGGCCCACTGGCTCCCGAAGACGGTCTCTTCTTTGGTACCGGTAAGTCACCCAACCCGATGACGTCCTCTGAGGCGGTAGAGTCTAAGCCATCAAAGAAGTTGTTAAAAGAGTTTGCCACCCCTTGGGGCCCCTCGTTTGGGCGTCCTTTCAGCATCTGGGCCTCGTTGATCATGGAGTCAGTAAATGAAGGCAACTCGGAGAGATCTATCACCCCAAGTGCATCCTTCGGGACATTATCCTCTGCCCGAGAAGTACTGACCGTGGTCTCTTTGTCGACCTCCCCAGCTCGGGGCAAAACGGCCTCGCCCCTCTTTGGTTTGGAGGCCTCGGCCACTACCTCTTCATCAGCCACCCTGGTTTGAGGCAGTTCGGTATCGCTTCGCTCGCGGGCCACTAGTTCGGAAGCTTCTTCTACTTCTTCGGACTCGTCCTTTAGCCGATTGAGTGAGTCTGATGGGATTTTCCGGGCGCTGGTGCTTTCCTTGAATTAGTGCACCAACCTCCTTTTCGCACTTCAATAAAAAGAGGCTTTAGTGGCAACAGAAAAGGTCATTAGCGGCAATAACAATAGTTGTTATATCCTTTACCGGCCATTGATCTTTAGCCACTGAAGCTGGGGTCGGAAAAGCCTTTAACGGCTATTCTCACAAACGCTGGTAAAAGGTCTGACTTATTGCCGCTAATGACCATTAGCTTTAACAGTAATTATTTGCGGCAATTATGATGGCTGCTAAATCTATTTCCATAATTGTTTAGTTTGCTCTTTTAGCGCCTATCTTTATTGCAGGTAAATCAAATTAAATTGCCGCCAAAAATCACATACTTTAACGACTATTATAATGGCTGCTAAATTCATCTAGAAAATTATTTAATTTGCACGACGTTCATTTTTATTATTGATAAATCCAATTAAATTATTGAAAATTAATAACCCTTCTAGGTACAATTTAACAACCTTTTTATTGTCATTAAAACTATCTTTGAATTGGCAAATACTATAAAATAATTCACAAAAATATAATATTTCATTATATCTAGACAAAAAAGCGAGTAGTAATCTACATTATTAATGTAAGAACGACATAAAAGATAAAATTATATTGAATTATATAATTAGTGTCATTACAACTAATCCTATCGAATACCCACAATAACAAAATAATAGATACATAAGTTCACAAAAATAATTCCGCAATTCTTCATCGTATTGAAATCTTCCAAGTGCTATATTTTTGGACATTATTTATATGACCTGAAATAACAATAAATGTATGTTAAGATATGAAATCAAGTGAATAAAAATAGTAATTCTATATGTAAATATATTCTGAAAGGAGCTGCCAACTTCAACCAATTAAAATGAATCCTAATAACTGGGAGAACATTAAAAAAATTATTTAACAAAACTCACAATTGCTCAACCTTTCATTCATTATGTCTTGATCAATTAAGGGAACAAACAAATGAAAGAGAATGGTCAATTAACAAAGTTCACTAATTCGCAAAATTGTACTACTCAGGCCAAAAAAGATGGATCCTCTAGTTACTGCTCCAAAAACCAACCTTTTCAATTCTCTTTTCAGTAACACACATAGCACTATAGATGTATCATACAACTTAATTTTATCATTATAGTTAAAAATCATCTTAACACAAACTTAATCATGTAAATCAGCTGACCGCTAGAAGTATTAGGGGAAAGCAAGCAGAACAATAGCCTCTTAAAAATAACAGAGACAACTATTTGACAACACAAATTGAGATGCAAAACAAACACCAACGTATAACCAAGTTTGACACTTCACGCTGTAACAAATCTAATTATTCTAGATAATCAAATTATCCAGCATTTTCCCCATTCAATTTCAGAGAGTATGGAGCCATACCTAGAATAGAACAAGAGTTGCAAATTATTTGGCTATTAGTATGTTGAGAATAACAATGGTAACCACTATTCCTTAAACTTGGTGATCTGAACAACTTCAACTTTCCCTATACATATATTTCCTGCAGCAAAGCCTTTACATACAGAGATAGTATTCTGATTAGCAATCTGATAAACAATAACATAATTTGTATTATCAAGTGTGATGTTTATCACCTTTTATCTATTTTCGTAAAAATTTCTTTTAAGAATACTTAATAAAGACAAATAAAGGGTATTTTTTTGGAAGCAATATGGCATAGGCAAAACATCCTTTGATCACATACTACATAAATAAAATCTATTCAAGCCCTTTCCACAGAGGCAAATGATAAAATCCTGATCCAAATAGATAGTCAATCTTAGATATAAAGTTCCTATACATATAGGAAGAATCTTACAATTAGTATTAAATTTGAGCAGCTTTGGCTTTTACGATCCATTATAACTGCTTGATTACCTATCTTATCTGCACTATCTTTAAGAGCAAAAAGAATACTAAAACATCTGTTAAAGATTTGAAAAAGGTAAGATGTTTAAAAACAAATAAGGGGAGAAGGGAATTCAATTTTCTAGAGATGGTTGCTCTCTTAGGCAGCACGTTAAAAGTGTATGATGTCTAAACATCTAACACAAGGGTGATAGAGTATATTTTCATCATGTTCGCTTGACAGCTTCCACAATCAAACTTTCCCAATCACATCATGTCTCTAAAATATAATGGTCCTTGCTAACTTGTGCATAATTAAATTAGAAAGAGAATCGAGTTAGCCATGAAAATTATGTAAAAATGAGAGATTATTTACTTTGTTGAGGACTTATCTTTTCACTAAAAAGAAAAATCTTTCTTAGCCGTGTAACTTTCAAGTTTTCCTCTTCACTTAAGAAACATTATAAAAGAAAAATATATCACCATAACAAAGAGATTAAGGGAAAAAAATATAATTCTCATATGATAAAAAATTCAAGCAAATATTAGATATTTGAGCGGTTACCTCTAGAATTGCCCATNTAAAAAATTCAAGCAAATATTAGAAATTTGAGCGGTTACCTCTAGAATTGCCCATATGAATATGATGTTGTCTCATTGAGAAAGATCGAGAAGAGTTCATTACTGTGCAAAAGAAAACATGAGCCACAAAATTATTTATCACTCTACAAAATGGAAGCCAAAGGCCTTCTAAGATGAGAAAGTTACAAGAAAATAGCATGAAGTGATTAAATAAATTTTGTAACCGGACGCCGTTATATAAGAAGGTATTGTAACTGTCAAAAATAAACATGCATTGTGAATTTCAATTCTATTAGAGATCCTAACATCACTACATGCTTTTGGTGATATAGTATTCAAGTTATTTACCAGGTCATAGTAACTAGAGATGTTCCAAGAACATTAGTCAAGGTGTTCTGAGTTGAAACATGTCAGATGAAATAACCACCTGCCTCTGCTGAGCAAAATCATGAAAAAACTTAACATATGAACAAAAGTTGTAATTTTCTGATTTTAGTAAACTAATACTTTTTCATACTAGACCTTGTGACTAATGCTTTCAAATCTCTATTGTTTACAAAATCTGTAATTAGGTTGCCTTGCAAATTAAAATTAGATATCTTAACTTACCGTAGAATCTTACAATGCAAGACACCCACTGTTTCAAAAGTTTCATATCTAAATTAACTTTTGGTTTGATTCCTTCTTTCTAATTAATGAAAAATTTCATTTGAAAAAACCTTCATGACTCCAGATTCATCTCCTTTCTCTAAATTTTGGACCCATCATGCCTCAACAATTAGAAGACTAAATTTTCTAGAAAATAAAATGTCAGACTAGCACATTGCAAATACACATTCCTATATAAACCCAACCACGTCACCGCCTCCGTCCCCCACTACACTAAGATTAGGTCTCAGATGATTAACCTAGAAACGTTTTTACATCTCATCAACCATGAACTCCTCTAAACTGCATTCCAATTCCCTTTTTCAAGTTTTTTTTTACATACTCCATCAAATCTTATCTCATCAAACCCATAATATAAAAGTAATAGATTTCAAGAGAGAGAGAGAGAGAAGGGGGAGGGGGGTGACTGAGGGAGTGAGAGAGATATGAGTTGGGTTACCTTGGGTTGATGGTCGGCGATGATTAGAAAAAGATGAGATTGGCATCGGCGCGACTGAGAGAGATGAAAGCCCTTTTGCTTATTTCCTCCATCTAAATTTTTCCTTAATTGAATCTATTCAAATTACGGGAAAAATATTTAGAGGGAATAGGTGATTGTTGTGAAAAATAATGGGAGGGAAAACCGTTTAATTGACAGTAAAAGAGCACCTTTTCCTAGAAAGTATTGATCTACCGCTAATATCTCAATTTTAGGAATACTATATCGGCAATAAGTTTATTGCCCCTAAATAATAGTCGGTAAAAGATATTTTTGTTGTAATGTCAGTTTTTTCTTCTCCTGAGTTCGGAGAACTCGGATCCCTTTTTCTCTTCTTTTCCTCACCCTGTCTCGAAGCAGGGAACTCGGAGGGGCAATCCTCGCCACCAGATGGGGACCTCATTGCAACATCCTTGGGAAGACCTGCAAAGAAAAGGAAAATGAGTGAGGGCCCAGTAACACGGAGGAAACCTAAGTGTTGTTCACACGAGAAAGGAATCTCACCGTGACAACGGGCCTCCCATTGGCCCCCTTGGACACGATGCCCTCGACCCACTCCTTGAGTCGAGGAACTGCATCCGGCATACGAGTAGCAGCTGCACCACCATAAAACATCGATGAGAAGGGAGGAAAACAAAAATCGATAAACGAAATCTTGAGAGCAAGGTTATACTTACGCGTCATGTTCCATTTCTCAAGAAATGACATATACTTGGCCAGGATTAAATTTGATGTCTTCACTAGTATGAATCGGCCTGACCAGCCTCGGTTCCGGTCCTTGTCAATGCTCGAGAATTGGGCCTTACTAGCCCGGCTGCCAAGTTTGATTAATCCCCCCGATAGAATCGGGGACTATACAAACGCATGAGATGGTCGATGATGAAGGGGCACCCCTAGATTTTGTTTACGAAGAAGCAGAGGAGAATTACTATCCTCCAGAAAGAAGGATGAATTTGACCGAGGGTCACCTCGTACCTCTTACAGAAGGAAATGATGATCGGATCCAAGGGGCCCAGCGTTAAGAGATAAGTATAAACACTTAAAAAACCCTCCACGTGGGTAGTAATCACTTCTTCGGGCGTGGGGACCGCCACGTACTTATTAACCCAGTTGCAATTCTCCTTGACCTTGGAAAGGAAACTATTGGTGACCGAGCATATATATCTCGAGACTGGTTCACACCGACCCGGTACCGAGGAGGTTTTATCGATCTTGAAATCAGCACCGGTTGGACACCCCGTAGGAACGAACATCTTCAAGGGAGGTTCCGGTGTCGGTTTCTTAGTAGCAGCAGACGAAACGTTTTCCTCTACAGGCGGTCGCGAGGCAGAGGGAGTTTCTTTTTAGGAAACGGATTTTGAAGTCTTCGCCATTTCTTTGATAAGGAAAGAGAGGAAGTTTGAATATTAAGTTTGATGGTTGGGGATAAAAATAAAGATAAAGTTCTTGTGAAAGGATTTCAGAATAGCCAGAAATTTAATACCGGGAAGTGTTGAAATTTCTAAAAAAATAGGAGTAGACAAGATTTGGATGTAAAAGTTTGAATGAATGAATGAAGGGGGTATTTATAGTTTCCAAACGACGGTTCAAAGCCACAAGTGGCCGACCAGCAACTGATGAACATTTAATGCCATGAAGATGTGACTGACGAGACGTTTCGTTCATTTTGTCATTTCTGACGCGGAGTACCGAGGAGAGATATCGGAAGCTCATATCGTTTATCGTCGTTTACTCTCCGAAAAATGAGGGGACTATCTGTATACGGTCGAAATCAGGCTCGACTATTGCACAACAGATCGTGCTCAGAACGCGAAGGATTGAAGATCGACCCCGAATCTCATCGAACCAGAACACGAGGTCAAAATGTCCGTCCTCAGGAACATTGAGCCCGTGAACCCGGAATCAACCCTGACCCCGAATGAGTTCGAGGAAACATTGCCGGTATAAAATAATAGAAGACCGAAATAACGAAAGGCCGAAATATCCATAGCCGATCGAATATTTCGGTGGTAATCTCGGCACGTGTCAGTTAAGTACCGGAAAATCAGCAAACCATGAGATTTTTACCTTTTATAGAATTGTATCTAAGGTAGGACTCCCTTACTATATAAAGGGGAGTCTGATTACTTATAAAACACATTGTAATACGTATCTCAAAGCATTATATTACTATTCTCTTCAGGTTCTTATTATTCTCTTGTTGTTTTGTTATCAATAAAAGCATTTTTGGGCTCGAGGGTGGCTAAACTTCAAAGGCTAAGACTGTTCAACTTAAACGGTTTGTATTCACTTTTCCATTACTTATTTCAATTGCAATATGATTTGTAGTTTAGTATCAAATTAAATCACGTATCCTTAAAACCACTTATAAATTCAATTGTTATCCGATTTTGAGGGTAAACAAGGTGTATTTTTTATGTGTATAATAAAACAAGAATCTTCACAGAATGCCAATGTGTAGTCTTACAAACGAGTGTTCAATGTCCCCTATAACGATGTCTCCTTCTATTTATAAGGGAACATGCGCCACAAAACCCTAATAGTACAGATTCAGAGAATATTCACTGGAATATTCTCTTCAAAGTCTTATCCTAAAACTAGTCGTTACTACTCTGTTTAAAAGAGTGTTCGTCCTCGACCTTGATCTCTATTGACTCCTCGGCCCAGTCCTTCATCTCTTGTTAGATCACTTCGACCTTGAATATGCCTTTTGTTGAAGTCATACTAGTGACACGTGGCAGGCCTCGAAAGCCCTTTTAATGCTGATATGGTCTAAACATAACTAAGATAAATTTTGGCCCATCGTGGAAGTATTTAATGCCTCGATGATGATAAACGGTTGGAGCTCAAGACGCTATTTGTCTTTTCAAATTAATAATGTAATTTCTTTTCCTTTGATAAAACATTATTTTGTTGGAGATTTTACAACTTAATTGTAAAAGAATAATTGTAACGGAGTACTGAGTACAACGTTGATGGTTTTCCAACATCCATCACAAATATTCGAGTGTTGGTTTTCCCTAGCTCATTAATAACGATCTAGTTAGTTTTTACTCATTCAGTAACAATGATTTGCAACAATCTCTACGCAGAATAAGTACATACACTACTGTTACTTGAAGAGTAGTACAAGGACGAAGAGGATTTCTCGGAGCTGCGCTGCGCGCGTGTATTTTTCTTTAATTTGGTTCTTCGACTTGTCATCTTTTGTAGTAATCATCATTGTTCTCGACCTTTCCTTTATTTATTGCTAAAACATTGATCTTAGAATTAAGTTGAATCTTCTCTTGGTTGGAAATCTTTGTTTGATTTCTGGCTTGGATTCATTTGACCCTCCCTGCCGCGTTTGCAATCTAAAATATGTTTCCCATTATTGCATGTTATTTGCAATACCATAATATAATTGTATACGGTCGAAATAGATTTCAGCCTTGGCATGTCCGGTATGGTTCGAAGGGTGATGTATCGAAGTAAGATCCCCGAAGGGGGACGAACTAACTTCGAACCCGGGGAGGCCGGTCCGTGTCGAGATCGATATCATAATCAAACTCGAACAAGAATCGAACCATGACGCAAGGTAGACCTATCGTGCTGATAATCCAAAGACCAACCAACACTGACCTGGAATCAATTCGAGGGCTCGAACCAGGATCGGGCTCGAACCAGGATCACAAGTTCGAGCCGAAATCAAGCTCGAACCAAAATCGAGGATTCTAAGCGAGATCGAGCTCGCAGACAAAAGCCGTTGCAATCCCACTAGAGAAAATCTTGGCAGAAATTATGGAAAAGCTGACTTATCATGGGTCACCCACTGAATATTTATTTGGTTATGCTTGGAGCTGAATCCCTCCACTATAAAAGGGCTTGGTTATCATTTCTGTAGTATAGGTTCTCGGGAGACTTACATTGTAATAAAAGTATTATATTCTTCTACAGTAAAGAATCGCTCTTCTAGTTTCTTAGATTGATTCTATTTGTCGAATCCTAAGGTTCACTGTTCTTGATAACCTTATCTAGATTGCATTATCTCCAATCTACATTTGCATTTTATTTATCCTTGCATTTTGGATCAAGTTACGCCACATATTCTTGTAACTGCATATAAATTCAACTCTATCCATTTTTCGGGTAAACAATAGTTAACGCAAAATAGAAAATAATCAAAGTAGTTTTGGCTTGTCTCATAAGTGCTGGCAAAATGAGCACATACTTTGTCAACCCGTCCAATCCGCCCATATTTTAATGGATTGGATGAGTGATATTTAAGTTGGGTAAAATTTGAGTTTCAAACCGTAGAAATATGGATATTCATGGGTAAAATATGAATTAGCCTGGTGGGTTATCTTCCAACTTTTGCTCACTCAAAATACATGATATCATATTTTAAATTGAAAATGCTATAAAAGTATTCCGACCCCTCTTCCATCGTATGTTTCTTCTCACCATAGTAGACTGTGAGTATTTTTTTCTTTTTTTTTTCCTTCTAAACATTGTAAGTACTGTTTACTACTCCCTCCATTCCAGTTTATGTGAACTTATTTCATTTTTGGTCCATTTCAAAAAAAATGATCCATTTCTAAATTTGGAAATAATTTAGCTTAAACTTCTAATTCTACCCTTAATGAGAAGCTTTTATAATTACACAAATATTGTGGACCACTTTTTGACTTGTTTAGGACCACATATTCTAAAAGTTTTCATTTTTTCTTAAATTCCGTGCCCAACCAAACAAGTTCACATAAATTGGAACAGAGAGAGTATTGTTTAGCGTTCTTATTCTTTCTAGATACATACTTGAATACCAAAAATAGTTTAAGAAGTAGAAGCAAATTTGTATTGTTTTTCATTTGTTCTTGAAGAGAACATGTTAAGAAAGAGAATATTTTCTCATTTGTAATACGTCACTTTCGATAAAGAGGTACTCAAGAGTACAAGGGTGTGTTTGGTATGAAGAAAAATATCTTTCAGAAAATATTTTCTAATTTTTTTATATTTGGTTGGCTTAAATATTTTGAAAAATATTTTTCACCAATTAGAGAAAAATATTTTCTTTNCCCCTACCATCCCAACCCCCACATACAGTATCCCACCCAACTCAATAAAAATATTATTAAGAGTAATTTATTTTTCATTTCAACAAAATGAGTATTTTATTTTCATGATGTAAAAAAAGTATTTTCTTTCATTTCAAAATAATTACCATGATATAGAAAAAGTATTTTCTTTCATTTCAACAAAATGAGTATTTTTT